ACCGACCCCACCTCCCAGGGGTCATGTAAGCGTTCAGCAGTTGTTGCTGTTTCCTAACTTGAGCTGTCAATCACTAGGGCCCAGATTCTCTACTTTTCCCAGTGACCTGGGAAAAGTAGGGCCTGGAAACAGCAAGAGACACAGAGAGGCTTTATTTGACATGAAGTCCAGGAAAGAGCCACTAGCATCTCCAAGTGAGTCTCCAACCTTGGCCTCATCCAAAGGCTGCAGGGACGTTCCTGCTCTGCTTCAACTGGAAAATGATCTTGACACGATCCCATCTGCCACTGGGTCCCGCTAGTCATCCGCCACTTTCTTACTGTAACTCTGACGTCGCTCACAAATCCCTGCGGTCTGATCTCTGTGGGCAAAACAGATCAGACGAGTCATCGACTATTGAGTCTGCACTGAAAGAACAGTACTTACAATTAAAAATGCAACTTTATTTCCTCAGCCTCTTCGAAGCCTCCAGTAGAAGACCAACGAGCAACTCAACTGCTCCACGAGCGGATTCCCCCCCTGAGCTGGGGATCTCACTCTGGCTTCAGGCTCCCCTGCCTTGATTCCCCCCCTGGGCTGGGGATCTCACTCTGGCTTCAGGCTCCCCTGCCTTGATTCCCCCCCTGGGCTGGGGATCTCACTCTGGCTTCAGGCTCCCCTGCCTTCGGAAGCCCGTTTCCTGAAAACCCTGCGCCGCGCCTGCCAACAGGGGGCGCCGAAGGGACGCCTCGGGAGGAAGGTTTTCCTCGGGCAGAGCCTGCAAAGCCCAGCTCCAGGCAGGAAGTTTTCCACACCAGGCTCCTGGGGGCACAGGTTCAGAAGCTTCTGGCCCTGAGAAAAAGTTTCTCCACTGCCAACTTCCTGAGCCCACGGGGGCCAGTCGTGCCCAGCAGCCAGCGGCTGCCCCTGGAATATCCAGAGTGGCTTTGCGGTGTCGCAGGAGATGAGGTGCTTAGCGCTGTCTCCTTGGCCTTGCCCGCTGCCACCAGCTCAGGGTCGCGTCTTGGGGGAGGCTTCTCCTTGTATGCTTTATCTTTGTCCTCAGCGTAGTGGCTGCTTCCTGTAGGTGCTAGTTCTTCGTCTTTAAAGTTCTCTTTAACTTTTCTTTTTTTAAGTTGTAGATGGACACAATAACTTTATTTATTTCTCTATGTGGTGCTGAGGATGGAACCCAGGGCCTCACACATAGGAGGCAAGCGCTGGACCACGGAGCCACAGCCCCAGTCCTCTCTGTAGCTTTTACTAGTCGACTCCCCATTATTCCAATCCCCTGGTGATAGTGCTGTGTATTAAACTTTCTGAAAGGCCAAGGCTCGTCGTCGGAGACCAAAACGCACACACAGATAGCAGTGACAAAGGTGAAGCGCTTTATTGCCAACTGCTGCTAGCTTATGTAGACAGTGAAAGTCAGTTATCTTAGACCAGGAAGCTCCGGGGACCAATCATAGTCATCACAGGTCATCACCTGTGGTGGACGCCTGTCTGCCCTGCATAAGATTCATGGAGATCACCAACTGTTCAGGAGGGTGGAAGACGGGAGGACCAGTTAGTGAATTTTCAAAACTACTTGTTATCCGCCCACTGGCAATCTGCCGGCTGCCATATGGCATTAGAGGCTTCTTATCTGAAAGGCCCGGGGCGTTGTCAGGGAGACTCCCAACACTTTCCATGTTCAAACTACTGTGTGGATTCTATCTCCTGATTGGCCCCTGATGGACACAGTACTGTCACAGCATTGAACATTTTCATTCTCTACAACAAGTCTTGCTTCACTGTTCCTTTTCAATCTGTCCTTATTTGTTCTCTCTCATTTTTATTTGAAGAGGAAATTAGCACATAGTATTCCAACACTAAACAACCAGTAAGGGGGGGCTGGGGTTGTGGCTCAGCGGTAGAGCAATCGCCTCACACACGAGAGGCCCTGGGTTCGACCCTCAGCACCACATAAACAAATAAAATAGAGAGATTGTGTTCAAATACAACTAAAAAACAAATATTAAAAAAATAATAACCGGTAAGGTTTTAACAAGGTAACATTGAAATAATATTAAATTGCTGAAAAGGACAATGTCACAAGTCCATTTTGTGTTGCTATAACAGAATACCCAATGCTAGGTAATAAATAAAGAAAAGAGGCTTATTTATTTTGTCTTAGGAATTTGCTAAGTGGAATGTCCAAACAGCATGGTGCTGGTGGTGTCTGTTGAGGGCCTCCTGACTCTGTCACAACATGGTGGAGAAGCAGAAAGGGAATCCGCTGCATGCAGAAAGCACCAAGCACCTGGGGTGGGGTGGCCTCACTTTCTAACAGTCTTCTCTTGAGAGAACAAATTCAATCACATGAGACTTAACCCTCTCCCATGAGAGGGGCATGAATCCCATCAAAAGGTCCTATGACCTAATCATCTCCTGCTAGGCCCCACCCTAAAGTTTCCACCACCCCAATACTGTTACCTTGGGGATTGAAACTTGGGGGGATAAATCCAAAACATAATGTTATCAGGAAAAAAACAAAACTAAATAAACCCTCTAGTTTCCTTGAATGAAATTGACTTAGAAGTCACTCATTTTGGAGGTTACAGAGCAGGGCAATATGTATTAATGTCCCAACTAGCTCTGCCATGGATCACACGGCATGTGACATATGGGTTATGACGACTAACAGTGACCTTGGTTACTTTTCAAGGACTCAACTTGCACAGACTCTTCACTTGGGCTGCAGATGCCCCAGTGGGTGACTGGCACCGGAGGAACAGGCCTGGCGTCTCCGTCTTCATATTGTGTCCCTCACTTTTGCTGCCTTAACCTTGGGTCACATTCGACTCAGCAGAACTGTAATACAGGTTTACTCCCTCTAGACGTGCTCAGCCTCTTTCCTCCCCCTTCAAGACTAAAGACGCCACCAGCCGCCATGACCAGAAACACAGGGAGCAGTAAGTGGTGACACCTGAGCCACGAGATTGCTGCCTGTTCCCAGAATTCAGATGGGACATCCTTCCCTTTGTTATCCTGGCCCTCCCCGCCCCATTCTTCCTACCTGTGTCTGCCCCCAGAGCACAGAGGCTGATCTGAGAGCAGAGCCCCCACTTCTCCATTCCATGGCCTCTGAATAAGCCTCCTCCCCACTTGGTTTATCGGACACTGGTTTATGGGTGGATTAGCTTCTGGACCTGGGTTTGGTAACAACAGAAGGGATGTTCTTGAGGTGCGAGCCTTTCTGGCTCACGGGATGCACCTGTCTTAATTTGTTCGGGCTGCAGTAACAAAATCCCGAAGACTGGGTAGCTTATGAATAACAGGAATTCATGCCTCACAGTCTGGAGGCAGGGAAGTCCACCATCGAGGTGAGAGCAGATTCGGTATCTGGCAATAATCCACTTTTTGGTCGACAGGTGGCATCTTCTTGGTGGAAGGAGCAAAGCGTTCTCTGAGTTCTCTTTTGTGAGGGTGCTGCCATGATTTGCATATCCTCCAAAACCCATGTGGAATCCCCACTGGGAGGTCTTTAAGAGAGGATTCAGTCATGTGGGCTCTGACTTCATGAATGGGTTGATTCATTCATGGATTAACAGATTAGTGGATTAATGGTTATCATGGGAGCGACTTTGCCGTGAAACTGGTTTCTCCTGATTTGCCCTGTATTTCTATGTGATGTCTTCCACCATGTCATGACCCAGCAAGAGGGCCCTCTGATAATAAGCAAATATCCACATAATGCTCTTGGCTTCCCAAACTGTGAACTCGATAAGCCTGTTTTCTCTATAAGTTACTCAATCTGTGGCATTCAGTGATAGCAACAGAAAACAGACTTGTGACAGGTCTCACCCTACCCTTGAGGTCTCCACCCTGTGTTCTAATCACCTCCCAAATGCCATGCCCCCAACACATCCCAATAGTGATTACGTTTCAACAAATGGATTTGGAGAGGCACCAACACTCAGACTGTAGCAGCACCCAAAGCAGAGAGACAGCCTGGGATTGATTTCTATGATACTTTCTCAGCTTGAGTTTCCCACGTAATGGGCTGATTTAGGCTCCTGGCTGTGTGCCTGGAGATCAAGGAATCTTGTTTCTTCCAGCCACAGCCACCGCTGAGTCAAGCTTCCTACTTACCTCCTGGAACCAGGGGGACGTTTATTGGTCTTTCTTATAAAGTGATCACAGCCCTTCAAGGGCCCTAGTTTTGTGCCAGGGCCTCATTTCTAACTTATCCCCTGGCAAAGCCCAGATTGAAAACCAAGGCTTTCACCCTTGGGAAGCCTGGAAGCAAGTCTGTGACTGCCCCCTTGTGGAGATTCAAGGCACAGGTGACCTTTAAGGCAACAAGCAGAGGTAAGAAATTATAGTCCTCCTCCTTTATCCATGGGGTTTGTTCCAAAACCCCCCAGTGGACACCTGAGGCCTCAGATTGTGCCAAACCACAATATATACGTAATGTTTTTTCCTATGTGCCCTGCAGCATGGCCTCGTGACACCATGGCGGATCTGTCCCTCCATGTTTTATGCTCTAGTGCCTCCTCAGCATCCCCACTCCTGCACGTTGGTGGCCATTATTAAGTGAAATAATAAGCACTTGAACACAAGTGCTGCAATGCTGTGACAGTCCATCTGGTAACCAAGATTGCTACCAAGTGGCCAAACCTGTGAGTTCACCTCTACAGAGTGGACAAGCTGGACAGGGGATGACTCACGTCCAGGGAGGGATGGAGCAGAGCAGGGCAAGATTTCATCACATGATTCAGAACAGCACACAATTTAAAGTGTGAATTTTTACTTCTGGAATGTTCCATCTGATATTTTCAGACCATGGTTAATCTCAGGTAATGAAACTATGGAAAGCAATACCTCTGATAAGCGGGGACACTGTAGAATTCTTTTACTGCCATCTTTCTGTAATCTGAGGGCTCTCTCCTATGTTTGTGGGGGAATACTATATTTCACCACATAATTGTTGCACATTTTGTGAGTTTTTGAAATTCTTTTTAAAAACTGTGCTAGTATTACTTAAAAATTGTTTATTAGTAAACTGTCATTGGTGCAAGGTTAGGATGCACAGAATACTCATGAATATACATTAAAATAGAATAGTCCAGGGCTGGGGATATAGCTCAGTTGGTAGAGTGCTTGTCTTGCATGCCACAAGGCCCTGAGTTTGATCCCTAGTACCACACAAAAAAAATAAATTAATTAAATAAATAATGATAGAATTGTCCAAATCCACATGTATCATTTCTTCCTGACAGTTGAGGGAACATTTTTCCTGTCTGAAAAAAAAAAAAAGTTAACACATTAGTTGTAACTTATTTGTTATAGTAGAAATATTACTATATTTCTTGAGAAAATTTACTACAGTGTTACAAATTTTAGACTTACAAAATGTAATCTTCCATATCCCAAGGTTCTGCACCACAGTTCTTGGTATCACGAGGTCCTCATGAGCGGCACATGTCAGATGTATTCACCATTAGTTCTGAGGTACTCTAAACAAGGCTGGTGAGTTGGCTTTTGGAAATATACTCCATCACAGAGCAAGAGAACAGAAACATGCACCTATATGTTCCTGGCAAATGAAATCATACCATGCAACAATTAACAATAAAAGATTATAAACCAATTTTTGGATCCAAAAAAAAAAAAACAGGGCACAATGATTATGTGGTGGTGATGATTATGCTGTGATATATGGCACTTCTGCACAGAATGACACAAGTATGATGCGTGTCTGGAGGATCCCAAGGACATGAAATATGGGTTACATCTACCTTATCCAAAATGCTTGGGTTTGGGAATTCCAAAATCCAAAGAAATGTCTTGGATTTGGGAATTTTCCCATTTTGGAATATTTGTATATACATAATGAGACATTGGGCTGAGACCTGATCCTAAGCAGGAAATTCATTTATGTTTCATATATGATTTATTCAGAGTCTAAAGGTACCTTAATAAAATATCTCACGTAATTTTATGCATGAAGCAATGTTTTATGATGTGGAATTTTCCGCTTGTGGCAATATGTCAGCGCTCAAAAAGTCTCGGATTTTAAAACATTTGGGATTTGAGATTTTGGGATTAGGGATGCTCCACCTGTAATGTAGGGTTCCTGATCCCTGTTCCTCTCTGCCTATACCCAACTGTAGCTCCAGAAAGGGAAATCTGAACTTATTTCTAATAGTAGCTCATGTGGCCAATTCCCACACGAAAGCACTACCCTGCTGATTCCCAGGAGGCTTCCCAGGATAGGTGGAGCACAGCGGGCTGTAGTGCTGTCTCCTTGGGCAGAGCCTGGTAGTAATATTACAAGGCCCAGGTCTTCAGAAGGGAAGAACGTAGTGAGTAAGAAGAATTTAAACCTCCTCCCCCACAGACCTGAACTGGCAGGGCTACTGACAGCTTGGAAAGCAGAAGGAATAGTGCTATAGTTTGGATGTGTCCCTGGAATTCAGGTTTTGGAAACAACTCCCTAAATCATCTATTAATGGTATGGTGGGGGCTTGGGGAATTAATCCATTATTCATAACACAAATAATGTTATGAGCTCTCTCTGATGCACCTTGCTATCTCACCATAGGATGCCTCTGTCATTCCGATGTGATAAGAAGCCCTGACCAGAGACCAAAACCAGGTTCTTGGACTTCCCAGCTTCCAGAACTGTGAGCTAAATAAATCTCTAATCTTTATAAATCACCTGGTCTTGAGTATTTTGTTATAGCACCAGAAAATGAATTAAGGTGAACAGAGTTCTGTTCTCTGGTTTAATGCAGGGGTCCTGCTGGGACACAGGATGTGTGGATTTTGATGGAGGCATGTGGGACCATCACTCCCAAGGTAAAAGCTGGTCCTGTTTTTACTCATCTTTCTACTTATGACCCTGGCATACTGTAGTGACTTATGGTGCCTTAAGAACACTGACTCAGAAAGCCATGTGTCCTGGGTTCAGTCTCAACTCTAATCTCTTTCCAGCCTGAGATCAAAGACAAGTAACTTAATTTCTCTATGCTTTGGGCTCCTCATAAAGTAACGACATTAACAGCACCTCCCTCCTAAGGAGGTGATAATTAAATGAGCAGGTGCCAGTCAAGAGCTCTGCAGAGTGACTAGCAGAAGACAGTCAATGCTCATTTTGTGGTGCTGGGGATTGAACTCAAGGCCTTGTGCATGTGGGGCAAGCATTCTACCAATGAGCTGTATCCCGGCCCCCACTGAATGCTACTTTGAAGTCACTAACAGAACAACAACAACAAAAACAAAAAACCAAGCTTCTACCCATCACCAGCCCCTGGGGCTGCCAACCTCCCGGCTCACAGCTGCTCCTCTGGAGCTCAGGCTTCTCTTTGCTTCTGGTACTTGCTTCTTGCAAGCTTGGGAAAGTTCCTGGCACTGCATTTGTGAGGGTGGATATTTTATTCCACATCTCTAGGGTTGTCATTGAAATATACAAAATGCATAATAAACCTACTCTTCCATTCAGACACAAAGCCTTCCCCTTTACTCCTTCAGCCTTTTGCTGCTCGCCCCTGAACACATGTGAACTGAACTAGAAGGTTCACATTGGCATAGGCTAAGCTGCAGGAACAAATAGGCCCCAGAGTTGTGATTCTCCCTCCTAGAGCAGTTTAGACCAGGGGTCCAGGTTGGTGGGGCTGCCTGCCCAATGCTGTCATCGAAGCACCCTAGTAGCACCCATTTGCATGCCACTCCCATGATCATCTGTAGTAGTCTGGGGTTTTTTGTTGTTATTTTTATTTATTTATTTATTTGGTCATTGTTATGAAACTATCAGCAAGAACAATTTAAAGGAGGAAAAATTTATTTGGGGTTTACAGTTTCAGAGGTTCAGTCCATGGTCGGCTAACTCCAATGCTCTGGACCCACGGAAAGGCAGAACACCATGACAGAAGAGCAAGGCAGAGGAAAGTTTCACTGCAGCCAAGAAGTAGAGGGACAGGGAGGACGAAGCCCTCCAGTGTACATGCATCCTCAAAAACCCAGCTTCTCTAGCTCACCCCACCTGCCTCCAAGTTGTCACCAAATTAGTCCAATCAAACTAGGATGGACTGATTAGGTTACCATTCTCATACCCTGATTATTTCACCTCTGAATGTTAACAGCAGCTTTTGTGGGGACACCTTATATCCTAACCATAACAGGGTCATTCCTGCCCTCGGGATGGAGGGCATGCATAGGAATGTCTATGGGCCACTCCAGAGAATGGCACACATCATCCCAAGTCAAACTCCGCTAAAGAGAACTTGTCACATGGTCCAACCAACTTCAAGGGAGGGTTGAAATGAAGTGTAGATGGGTATCACATGTCCAGTGGCAAGTTCATTACTACAAAAGAAGAAGAGAAAGGCTTTGAGTGACCACCAGGTACTATTTGCCACATGAGGAAAAATACTGGGTCTTCACAGGGAGGTCTATGAGATTTGGGATTGGGAGGACTTTTCTGGAGAAGGAGCATTTCGGGAGGAGTCAGAGTTGCTCAAAGGGCTGCATTCTCAGACCCTTTGACTTTTCAATTTGAGACAGAGTCTTGCTAAATTGCCCAGGCTGGCCTCAAACTTGCCAACCTCCTGCCCCAGGCAAGATCTCTCAGGCCAGGCACAGACTCACCTCTCACTCTGCGCACAGTGGGCAGCCATCCAAAAGCACAAGCAGGAAATTTGATAAAATCCAGCTTTCATCATTAAAAGGTCACACAGGGGGCTGGGGTTATGGCTCAGTGGTAGAGCGCTCACCTAGCACGTGTGAGGCCCTGGGTTCGATCCTCAGCACCACATAAAAATAAATAAATAAAATAAAGACATTGTGTCCAGTTACAACTAAAAAAATAATTTAAAAAAATGAGTGTGTGAGGCACTGGGTTCAATCCTCAGCACCACATAAAGGTCCATCAATTAAAAAATATTTTTTTAAAAAAACTACCATTGGCAAAGTTAAGTGCCCATTCTCCAATGAGAGGAAACAGGTTCCTGAGGAGATGGCGGGTCAGGGCTCGGGTAGAGGAAATCCAAGAGGAGACTAGAGCACTTGGTAGTCCAGAAACACAGAAAACACTCAAATGAACAAACATGATACAGGGACAGGTGAGCCCACTAGAAAGAACTCCCAGCAGCCAATGATGGGACAATTTGAGCAACAAAGTAAATAACATAGCATAGGATTATAACTCAAGGTATGTAGATATTCACATGCACACACAAAAAAATTCCACGGCCATATAAATAAGTAATTGAATAAATAGACAAATAGGGAAGAGAAGACTAATCTCCCTTCCTTATAGAAGAATCGCAAATAGTACCTGTAGTTCTTTCCTCTCCAGGAGGTATAGGCTAGTCCCACCCTCCTGTGAGATGGATGTAGCCACTGGCTTCCAAAGAATAGAGCATGGAAAGTGTGTGGGGGTAACTTTATTGTGGATAAATCTAGCAATTGTGACCTTAATCAAGTGACAAAGTTAACATCAAAAAATATCTACATATAGGGCTGAGGTTGTAGCTCAGTGGTAGAGCACTTGCCTAGCACATGTGAGGCGCTGGGCTCAATCCTCAAAACCACATAAAAATAAATAAATAAAATAAAGGTATTGTGTCCATCTACAAGTAAAAATATTTTTTAAAATTTACACACAAATACTACCATTGGTGGACTGGGGCTGTAGCTCAGTGGCAGAGTGTTTGCCTAGCATGTGTGAGGCACTGGGTTCAATCCTCAGCACCACAGAAAGATAAATAGAGGTCCATCAATTAAAAAATATCTTTTAAAAAAACTACCATTGGCAAAATTAAATGACAAACTAGAAAAATTCACAATTCAAATGACACACAGAAGTTTAATTTGCATAAAATATAAATATCTCCTACTATTCGTTATTAAGAAGAAGAAAGAAAAAAGACCAACAACCTGGTAGAAAAATAAGCAAAGAACAAAAACTTCTCTGAGTAAAGCGGCTCTTAAATATACTAATGTTTTTGGTTTTTGTGGTGCTGGAGATCAAACTCAGGCCTCAATCATTCTGGGCAAGCTCTCTCCCACTGAGCTACCTCCTCAGCCCTTTTGATTTTTATTTGAGACAGGGTCTACTACTCAGGCTGGCCTCAAACTTGCCATCTTCCTGCCTCAGCCTCCTGAGTAGCTGAGATTACAGTTGTGCACCAGTACTAACAAATATGTTACTTTGAACTATACAAAATTGTCAATTTTGACTTATAAAAATGACAACTTTATATACTTTAACCTATTAAAAGTTGCTTAACCACAACAAAAGATAAATGCCAATTAAAACTACACTAAGATATCATATTTCAGTTACAGTTTGGTTAAGAACAAAAAGTTAGATAATATCCTGCTGCCTGGGATGGGGGTGTTCTATGTTCATGATTGGAAGACTCGGCATTGTTAGTACAACCCTTCTTCTCAACTTGTTCTACAGATCCAATGAAATGCTGATAAAAATTCCAGGATATTATTCTGGGATAGCATCAGACTAGTTCTTAAGTTTAGATAGAGAGGCAAAAGACCTGGAACAGTCAATACAATATTGAAGAACAAAGGCAGAGAACTGACATGACCCAGGTTCATAACCTAATACAGCTTCAGTAACCACAGGTGGTATTGATGAAAGAACAAATACATCAATGTAATACAATAGGGGGATAGCTCAGTGGTAGAGGGAGTGGTTGCCTAGCATGCAGGAGGCCCTGGGTTCAGTCCCCAGCATGAAAACCAGAAACAAAAAAATAGGAGGGATGGGGTGTGGCTCACTTGCCTACCATGCATGAGGCACTGGGTTTGATCCTCAGCACCACATAAAAATAAAGATATTGTGCCCACCTATATAACTAAAAAATTTAAAAAATTAAAGAAACAAAAGATAAACCTCATAGAATGTACACCACCAAGAGTGAACTCTAATATAAACTATAGACTTTGAGTGATAATTATGTGTCTGTGTAGGTTCATGGACTGTAATAATGTACCAGTCTTGCACACTGTTTAATTGTACAGGATGTCAGTAATGGGAGAGGTGGTACACGAGCCAGGCAGAGGTACATGGGAATTCTCTGTACTTTTCAATTTTGTGTTGAACCCAAAATTGCTCTAAAAAATAAAGCTTGTTTACTTAAAAAAAAAAAAAAAGCAAATAAAAACTAACCCGCTAAAATAGGAGGCCAATCCCACTTTATAGTGTCATGTTTGTAGAGAACTTCCAGTTTCCATTTTTGTAGGAATTTAAGAGTTTCTATTTTGGACACAATTTTAAAAGACACAAAGACCAGATTTAAGGATCAGAATGAAATTGCAGCACTGGTTGGGGTGATGAATCCCTCTAGAATTAATACAGACAGCTAAACAAGTAGAGTTAAATGCAGTGACATATGCCTGTAGTCCCAGCGACTGCTGAGACTGAGGCAGGAGGATCACTTGAACCCAGGATTCAGAGCCAACACAGGCAACAGTGTTGGCTCATTAAAAAGCAAATGCATACATACGCATCAAGTGACCTGAAGAGAACATTTAAACTCCAAACGTGATTTTATCATCTTCTTCAGAAAGGTCTGTGATCCAACTATGACTCTTCTCTTCTTTCACAAGAACTAAACCATGTGCCAGAGCATTTTTAGCAAATGCTTCTTTCAAATTCTCTTACAGCTGCGTGGTTGCTGCAAAAGCAACAGAGCCAGTGGTGAATATATATTGGAGGAAATCTGAGGGAATTTCATTTTAACAGACTTGGGACAAAATATTATTAATTAGTAGCAATAAGTGAAATGTTGGGATGTCATTGTTTAATTGACAAAGGTTACTTTAAAAATACTCCATATTATTAAAGTTGTGGTTTAACATATTTGAAACCCAATGGTAAGACTCTACCTTAAGGAGACTCATAGGAGAGAAGGCCACATGAAGACAGGGCCATGGTTGGAGTGATGTGGCCGTCAGCCAAGGACTGCCCTCAGTCACCAGCAGCACAGGACAGAGACTCCAGAAGGAATCGGCCCTGTCTATGCCTCGGATTTTGGACTTCTGGCTGCCAGAACTTGGGTGCTGTTATTCTGATTGAAACTGGGTCAGAGAAGTGGAGTGTCTTGCCCAGGATCACATAGCTGGGATTTTCCATCCCATCATTGGGCCTGTTCAGAAAAAGCTTTCTGGCTGAGGTCTGCAGCACAACATCAGAAAATACAGCAGGGTGTCTAGCACAGCCAAGCCATCACTCCCTGGGCACTGGGTGCTGGGCGATGCCCTAATGTCATGGCCCCTGGTCCCCACCACACATCTGGTCAGAACAGGGCACACAGTGGACTTGCAGAGTGGCTCTTTATTAGTTACCCAATAACCAAGAAGAGTCTCCCTGTTGTGAATTAGAATTAAGAGACCCCAGGGATGGAACTCCACACACAAGAATGGAGTCCTAATTAGAATAAGATATAGCCTATGTTTGTATAATTTTATCAAATGAATTCTACTGTCATATATAACTAAAAAGAATAGAGAGAGACCCTTCCCCCACCCCCCACCCCCCCCCAGGAATGGGTCTTACCATTCCTCCTCTGTGCTTGAACTGAGCGTCTACTTGGACTGCTGCTAGTGCAGTGGTCTTGTGCCAGCTGCCTCTTAAGAAATCAGGAAAGGAAGGCCTGAGGCAAGAGGCCAAGCCTGCATGTGTGCACGCTCGCTCGAGCTGCAAGGGGAAGGAACCTCGGTTTCCTCCCAGTGGTGTCCCTGCTATGGTGAGATTGCAATAACTAGTGGAGGGGATCTTAAAGTAGGAGAGGAAACCATCTTTATTTACCAGCTGGAGGGGGCACAGGCTGGTGGGGCGAGAGCAAGCTGCAAGGCTCCTCAACCACCCCCCCAGGAGTTGGGGCACACCTTTTAAAGCATGCCAGTACATTAGTCATAAGTGGCTGTTGCTATGATTTAAAACTACACACAAACATCATGAGGTCTAAAGTTATAAGCAGGAGAAGTAGGTCAAAATGACCCTAGTTGAGTACAGTTTAAAGAATGGTTACTGGGCTGGGGATGTGGCTCAAGCGGTAGCGCGCTCGCCTGGCATGCGTGCAGCCCGGGTTCGAGCCTCAGCACCACATACCAACAAAGATGTTGTGTCCGCCGAGAACTACAAATAAATATTGGAAAAAAAAAAAAAAAAACTCTCTCTCAAAGATTACAGGCTTGTGCCATGGTGCCCAGGAGTAGACAGATTCTTTAAAAAATTAAAGAAAGAAAGAATGGTTACTAAGGTCTAGACAAACATTCTCTGACAGGGTACACTGCCCAAGAAAAATGGGAACCAAAAAAAAAAAGAGAGAGAGAGAGAGAGAGAGCAATTTTACATTGTATAAGAAGAATAGAAACATTTGCGTTTCTAAGCAGGATGTGCTAAGCAGGATCGGGACAGCAGAGGCAGAGTTTTCTCATGGGAGAAGCATTTCTTACATGACACGAGTCTCAGGGTCAGATGGAGTCTGTTTGCTTATGGCCCACATAGCCTGGCCCATAACATCCCCATTTGATATGAGCTCACTGAGTGGCTTTATGATTCCAGCCACCAATATCCAGAAACTATGTTTACTGCATTAAGTGATCCCTGAATAAAACAGAAACCGACCATTCCAGAGCCTCAGACTCAGGGCTCAGAGAGCCTGAGCCATATGCCTTCTATGGTCTGCATGGCGGGGAGGCGGGGAGGCAGGGAGGCAGGGAGGCGGGGAGGCAGGGCGGTGCTCCTCTGAGTGGCTTAGGAGGAAAGCAACTCAAAGCTTCCCGGGGTCACATCTAACTGGGGCTTCCACACACTTCTGGAAACCACTTTGCAGTAGGATTGACCCCCAGCTTCTGCACACAAGACTTAGCAGCATTCAGAATAAAGCAGAATATCTGAACAGATAGGGACCAAGGACACCCTCCAGCCCATACTCTTCCCTTACTGACAGCAGCTGCCTTCCCCAGTCCTGACCTGCAATGTGGATGAGTTGGTGGAACTGTGCTAAGGGCGTGGGAGGCACAGAGTGAAGGACCGCCCTGGTGTCAGTAAGCTCCAGCCTCAACCTCAGCCTCAGATCCTGGCTATGTCACAGCAGCACCCTAGGGGTACCTTCAGTACGCACTTGTTTATGATTTGGCAATAGCTCCTTTCCCGTGGCATGTGGCAAATTCAGCTGTCCAGAACACAGCTAAAACCACTTAGTAAACCAGGCATGGTGCGTAGGCCTGTAATCCCAGCAGCTAGGGAGGCTGAGGCAGAAAGATCACAAGTTCAAAGCCAACCTCAGCAATTTAGCAAAGCCTTAAGCAACTCAGTGAAACTGGGTCTCTAAATAAAGTACAAAAAAGGTCTAGGGAATGTGGCTCAAATCGATAAGCACGCCTGGGTTCAGTCTCCAGTACCAAATAAATAAATAAATAAATAAAACCACTTAGTATTTTCTTAACCTTGAAAAATCAAAAGAGACAGACAATCTGGAGCATATATATTTCACACTTTGAAACTTCCTTGCTTTTAACCTCGTTATTTTTATTTTACCACTAATTATAACAAGTTGGTAATTAATTGTCCCTACCTAGAATAGATTAGAAGGTAGCCACTGAGGGTAGGTGCTCTGAATCTGGTAAGAAACTAACAAATCTAGTAAAAAAGAAAGATTAAAC